GCTTCTGCAGTCTGGGTCATATTCTAGAAGACTGTAGAAGGCCAGTAATTTAGGATATAAATCAGCAATAAACTGTATAATCCCAATATAGAAGTTTAATTTATAATAGAGAGAACTTGATTAAAAGGGTTAGATTAGAAGCAAGATTTATAAATAGTCATGTGGAGGCCATTTAAATAATACAAATACCTTTTATGATACAGCATCAGATTCAATAAATATTTAAATAAAATACTTGGATTGAGAGTTTTGCCAAATAACCCTTGGAGAAATCTTGGAGAGTTTAATCAGGTTCTTTCTGGTGCTATAAATCTGCCCTTAGAAACACTTTCAGTTCTCTTACATGTCTTGACAGGGGCCAGATAAACACCTTGGAGTACCGCTGCTGGGTTAAGGTCACCTTTAAGCAGCAAGACATCACAGTGCTCTACTTAGCAGCATCAGAACAGGACTTAAATGATGCATAAATCTTGTGCTCTCCAGGAGTTATTTTCACCCTCTCTGTATAAGACGAAAAACAAGTAGTTCCTTTAATCCTCTGTGGCTTCTGTATTAAAATAAGCCTTGATACTAATCCCTGGCTATCTGGATTTAAACTGACATATATCCTACAGCTTCAAATACCAGAACATCTGAGTAACCAATGTGCCCTTAAACCCAGAGTGTTTATGTGCTTAATCACACCAAAGGACAGAAAAGTCATTATCTTCCCAGTGTTTCCTTAATACTGCAGTGGGTTCCTTCAAAACCCTTAGCAGTTTTCCTCACCTTATTTCCTTTTGCTGCAGTGTTTGTGCTGTTCCCCATTCTGACTTGAAAGAACATGATGAGCAAGGTAAATGTCATGGAGCAACACATCAAGGCTGATAGCAACTTGCATAACTTCAGTTATACAACTGAGAAACTGGAGTTTGCACTTGAATGTCACAAAAGGTAGGTGGCTTCACTTGTGTGTGAGCAGATTTTCTCCCCAATGGAAATACACAGATTCCTAGGCTCTGTTCCTAATACGGTTGTCAAGCTTGACCAAAAAGAAGTATCAGCAAATGATAAAGCATCCATGTTTCTGGTTTATAAATATTTATGTGATGGTAATGTGTCAGAACAATGCTCTGTAGTGGTAACTTTAGCGATGAGTTTTCCTGTATGTACTGTGTACATTAAATCACATAAATAAGCCCCCAGCTTGTATCTCGTAGTGTCCCTGAAAGTGCAGAGGAACTGCATAAGATGCTGCTGCTCTGTTTGACTGTAAATGACCAAACTAAACTTTGCCTTCTATGCTGTACAGGGCAACAGGGTGAATGCTAAAAAAAGCCAGAGCCACTACTACACTGTGACTTGAAGTTACTGTGGCTGCCAAAAACTGGTGCTGCCAGATGCATTCATTACATGAAGTCCGTGCTTTATAGGCTGCACAAATGAACTTCACTGAAATCAACCAGTGAGGAACAGAACAGAGCTGAGGCTGCTGAAAGGATGACCAAAGGTCAAGGACTAGTATCCATAAAGAACAGAAGTGGTACCAAGACCATTACTTAAGTGCTCCTTGTCAAGGACCAGGAGTTCCTCAGCCAGGCAGTGCTTAAAGTATTTATCAGCTCCTTTTTTAGGCACCACAGGAGGCTTCAGCTGTGCATTCTTTAGTTACAGGAAAACATATATTAACTATGTGGGAGATGATGCATTGTCATAAGAGGAAGAAGATGATCCTGGAATTTCAAAAGCTGTTGCAATTATTCTTAGACCGAGGTGAAAATACTTTCTTGAAAAGAAAGATGCACATTGCTTTCAAAGCTTCATTGGAAACTTCTATTTTTTCTGTTTTCAATTCGAGGGATTTTGCTTTTGGAATACTGGAAACCTTTACAGGGTTCAAAACAAAGCATGTTTAGAGAAAACATTCTTGTCAGGAGGGAGAGGTTTTTACCAGAAGATGTTTCTCCTCATCTAATTCTTACACTAGTGGCTGGCAGCTATTGAGAGCCACAAAATAGCCAAATTTCTGTCCTTGCCAAAATTTTAGCAAGTAACTCTGCATTTGAGAAGGTAGAACTCTGCTTGCCAGGAAAAAAAGTACAGGAAAACCAAAGAAAATCTGTTATTGTATCAATTCTAAGAGTGTCTATTTCTCGGGACACCTTAGCTGATGATGTGTTCAGTGAATATCTAGATATAAGATGAAGAGTGACTGATCTCTAAGATTACACTTCTAGACCTCAGGAATTTCTGGTTAGACACTCCTATGAGATTTACTTCTGTTTATTATTAACTGATTATTTGATCCAGTTGCCTGGCAATAAATTTATCAACACCAGATATTTCGTATGTAAATGGTCTCTGCACTACTGCATTTTTATGGTGTTTGCAGGGAAGGGTGAAAGCAGATGGATCATTCTCTCTTTCAGGTTTTCTTCTCTAAGTTTTCTCTAAAAAAGTAAGTGTTTCAACTGCAGTATTTGACCAATTGGCTCTTCAGCATCTCCTGAAATCATCCCAAACTTACAGCCTTCTGATCCAGCATTGTCACTATTTAAGCCCTTCTCATCAGTTATTACTAAGAAAAGAACCAAACTTGTGTTTCTAAGTATAATGCAGAGTTAGAGAGAAAACACTGGCTTTAACCATAATGTGTGCCTTTGGGAGTAGCAGTCTGTTTGCCAACATTTGTAGAATTGCTCCAGTTTCATCTTGGTCAAAAATTACAGCCCAGTGAGCACTTCTTTTGATAGTGAAGAGATGTGTGTGTCTTACCCTAAAGTTTGAAGCCAGTTGAGGTAAAGAGCACAAGTTTTAGGAGTTATATGCAGTTTGTGAATGTACCCACAAAGGGAAACTGGGTATTTTTGGCCAACTATGACTCAAGATTTAATAAACCACCTTATTTCATGCAAAAGTGATCACCTCTCTGTTACGATTCTGAGGCTCTGCAGTGCTGCAGAGGTAGAAGGACAGAAGAAGGGAACCAGGCAAAAAATAAGCCATAAAGAATATCTATTAAACTGCAAGCATAGACTTTCTAAACATCTATTCTTTCATTGACAAACTCTCATACAAAGGTAGGATTTCAGGCTTAGTGCCTCCCTGAGAAAGTTGCAACCTGCACAGTGAGAACTGCTATTGTTATCACCCATTCCACAATATTCAGCTCTAAAAAGGGCAGCTGCCATAAAAACCAGTGCACATTTTTTCTTACTTATTCCTCTCCTTTATGCAGGATGATACTCAAAGAACAGTGTATGCACCAAAACTGTGTCCAGGACTGCATGCACAACATTTTTAGTGCTACAAAAGCAGTTGTTTCCCCACCTTCACTAAGCCCAAGTATTCAAAAATCACAACTCAGTTTTCAAAATCACAACGGGCTTAAAACGCATGAAATTTTCCCTTTTAAGTAAATAATAGCCTTAGAACTCTTTAAGTTGTCACCTGGTCTCAAGAGCCTTAGGGCTCTTCAAACCATCATCTGGTTCCTGGGCTTCATGTCTTGTTCTGCAGCTTTCAGAATGATGAGAGCTGGAAGCTTCAAAATAAAGCCTTTGTTATGCAATCACATGGCTAGTGGCTGTGACTTGCAATAAAATCTTTTAGAGCCAGCAGTACCGCTTTTGATGTGCACATCCAGATTTCACAGTGAAAAAGACTGAAAGAAACCGGGCTTCTGTAGTCTGATGCTGAAAAGGGAGATAACGAATTTTATGCTCAGTTACCCAGGTCCTGGCACTTCAGACTGGAGGGGAATGACTGCAGCCAGAGAAGCAGTATTAGCTGGAGTTAGCTTTGGATTCATGCTCGGGAGTCCTGCAGGGGACGCAACAACTCTAATTGTGAGCCAGAGCCTCCCCAGGGCCAGTGTAATTTGTGCTGTGCCTCTTGAGGTCCTATGAAACAGAGACTACGGTTTGCGCCTACCAGCTGTGCTCCTGATCCTCCCTGTATGCTGCAGCTGGGAGAAAAGCCAATGCGAAGCTCCTAAACTAGTTCTTCAGAGCGCAGGGGAGCGCCTGGAGCAGAGGGTACTCTCAGCAGATCACTTATCTCAGCGTGATGATGCCAGAACAGATTTCAAGGCAGGAAATACCCAAACAAAATTTGCAGTGTTAGACAAGCTGGTTGAAATGTGCCAATTCTGCATTTTCTTTTTTTATATATAATTATTTTTTTCCTAATGCAAGTTTTATTTTGAAATGGAAACAGGAAAAAAAAAGGCTTCCTGAAAGCCAGAAAATTGTGAGAAAAGTGATTATCGTAATAATATGATTATAAGTGATAAAATAATGATAAAAAAGTTATGATAAAATTATGATAAAAGAAAACCATGATAAAACATCGCTGAAAAAAAACATTTTATTTTCAATTATGCACAAAAGAGCTCAAATTTTGTAGCCCATAATATACACATCTCACATACGGACAAAATCTATAGTGAAAGTGACTTTATCTTTTGTTTAAAAAATAGTAATGAATCCAAAACATACTGATATTTTACTGTATTTTGAGATAAATGAGCTTTGAATCAGGGTCTGTTTCAGAAATGAACAGATTTGGACAGCACATTTAAATGACCTGATGAAGGTTTATAGAAGGAGCCTGTGGTGCTTTTAAGAGTGAATCCTCAGAGCCCTTTCTTACACTGCAGGCAGTCTTCACCATTTGCTGCTGCTGTGAGGCAACTGCAGAAAAACACCCCACCTTTGGACTCCACACAAGGTTTGGGTTTGCTGCTGTAAAGCAACAGGAGGTGCTGAGTCATTCTGGCCCGGTGTCAGAGCAGTGATGCAGGGCAGCAGCAACTAAGGCACAGAGTAGCCCCCCCAGACTTTTGAGGGTTCCTGGAAGAGCATGTGTTTCCCCTGGGAAGGTGTTAATGTCTTGCCATCCAGGTAGGGGTGCCATTAATAGTGGCATGTGATAAAAGAGTTTCAGCAAAATAATTACTTTAATGGTGATGGCTAATTTTAGGCTTTCTGATCTTTATCCTGGTACATGTTCTCTGCTTTATACATATGCTTTCTGATACAAAAGCATGCCATTGAATAATGCCACCAAGCTCTCCCACAGCACAAGTATGAGCTCTCTGCAAGCATCACAGCTCTGCTTAGACAAAACTGAATTTCAGCTTGTGGCTCTGCATCAAAGGTCACAGGGGGGTATGTGAGCACTACTGACAGTGCAATACTGTGTTAGGATAACAACTTTGAAACTTTGGCTTAGATAATTTGTCTGTGGACAAATATAGGAGCCAGTGGAATAAGCAAAATCCAAGCTCAGGTACTGTAGTTCTGAGGTCTGTCTACTACCCACCTGAACAAATTTGACATCCAGTAGTTATGACAGGGAGTAAATAGAAAGGTTGAGGTGATGTATGTCAGTTCTCTTTTTAAACCTCATTTTAAGGTCAGAAGAAGGCTATACTGTATTAATCAAGCATATTTTAGGACCTTAAAAAGACCATAGATTCTAAATTGCTCAAATGCATCAGTTATTCATTGCTTGCTAATATCCTTTCACAGACTAAAAGGTATGTGCCGAGTCATGATTATGCTTACTGGCATCTTCAATCCCTAATGAGTAAGTTCCGTACACACACACACATACACAAGTAACTTTATCTCTTTTTATCCAAGAGTGAGATCAGGCTCTTTGTTTTCCTGGTAATACATAGATCTCCTATGCAATGTTAATAAAAACTACAAATCTTTCTTTTATTCACTTTGTAGGCATTGCCTTCAACGCTCACTCCAATGTCCACAATGAAAAACCCACACTGATGATCCATGTTTGAGTAAGAGGATCCCTGTCACTAACTTAAGCCATAATGATGCACATAGCACCCCTCAATTTTGTTTTGTAGTCAACAAGTCTCTCTATTTGCTCAGCAAACTGATCCTCCTCTGCTTTATTATAACCACACAGGCTCAGTGATTCAATTTGTGTTCATTCTTATTATCCGATTGGATAGCTACAGTAACTTAGCATCACTCATGGGGATTGCTTAAGAGTTGCCTAAACCAGTGGCTGTAAATGAAGCTAATGATCTAACTTTCCCTTTTAAACTATTTAAATATAAATTGCTTTGAGAACTCTAACAAACACATAAAAACTGAATTCTGGAGGTCACTTAAGACGGTATGGTCTGAGTTTCCAGAATTACTTGGTGTAGGAAATTTTGTGACACTGTATTAACAGCCAATGTCAAGGCCAGACCTTACAGGAGGGGAAGCTGATTTTGTTGTAAAATCAAATCCTGAATCAGATGGCACTCATTCACATAGGTACCCTCACAACCATGTACAAGCACTAGGATGCGTGCATCCAAGCAACCTGCTAAGCAGTCAGGCACTGGGAGGTCTGTGCAAGATTTAAAGCGGTCTGTCTAGCACACTGGCACCAAAACGTGTGTCCAGGCAGTCTCCCAGCATTGATGCAGAGGACAAGGACATCAGCTCCTGAATCCTCACATCTGTGGCCTTTGCAGGCTGGTGACCATGTGCTGGTTTTGCAAGTGCCTTTTTGTATTCTCTTGGAGCTGAATGTGATCAGTCTGTCCATCCTGTCCCACCTCTGTGAGTAATCAGGATTTACTGTCCTTTCACTCTCAATAAGAAGTTGCACATGTATTTGTGCTAAGTCCTGATGATTTGCTAATCTAGGTACCATCAACACAGGGCAGTCCTATCGTCCTTTTCTGACCTTGTGTCCCTTTCAGTACTTCCACACCTGACAATTCCCATTCATACCACTCTTAGCATTTCTGCTACAGTTCTCTCCAACAGCACTGCAACTGAAAAGGAATAATTTTCTCATGCCATTAGAATTTCTGAAGATTGAAGGTATTTCCCCATTTCACATCAGATGAAACCGTTCCAGAAACAAAGGTTTCTTTCTTTCTTTTTTTTCAGATCAGCATGCTTAAACTTCCCAGACATCTGAATTTGACCCAGACAATCAACGTTTTGGGTCGTGTAACTGGGTCAGAGGCAGAAGAGACTGCTAAAGACGATGCAGGTACAGATGAACTGAGTTCTCCCTTGCAATATTAATGGGACAGAATAAGTATGTTCCAGATAGATCTGGTAAATCTAAGCATGGTAGCAAAAGTACTCCCCTGGCTTTTACAAGAAAGCCTTGTTCAAGATTACATCCTGAGGCCAGAAAGTCAGAGGCTCAAACACAAGTCTCAGAAACCCTAGAAGACCACCCTCACCAGCTATCTTGCTTTTCTTTTCTCTATGTCATATCTACTTTTTGATTCAAAACAGAAGTGTCTGCGTAAGGAGAAGCTCCCATTGTAGAATCACCTATTGCCTATGGATTAGGACACTCACCTAAGAGATGGAAGACACAGCTTGTCCCTTCTCTAAATCAGGCTGTTTATTCATCTCAAATTAGGTCCCTGTTATAAGACTACAGGCTTCCTGCTGATTTGTAAGGAGGCATAGCTTGGCATTGTCTTGTGAGACTTCATGGCTAAATAACCTGTAGAGAGAAACACAACTTCTTAATGTCTTTTAAGGAGCTTCTCTTTTCCTGTGCTTCCTGTCACCTACTTTCAGCTAAGTCATGAGACTTTAAACGTATCTTCAAGCATGTAGCATGTTAACTCCAATTTCTGCCTTCATAAAATATTTACATTTCATAACTGAAAAGAGAAAGCACCAAATCTCCCCATTCAGAGAGTCGGAGTGAGTCAATGGTTCTGGACTAACTGATGTCATCAAGAGACAGTTAATTGTCACCAGTTAACTCTTGCCTATCTTAAGTCACAGTTTAACATGACCCTCACATGTCTGAAAGCATTATGGGATCATTTAGAACATGTGGATTCCATTTTTATGTCTGTCCTTATTGGCAAATGCACCTTATTTCTGCAGACACCTAGAGACCTTATTGCTCTTACACGAGAAATGCTTAGACATAAAAACCTAAACCGCTAACTTTCTGACCAGTTAAAAAGCACAATTTGCACCTGTGATTAAATGAGCTTTAATTTACATTTATGAGCAATTTTATTTGGTGGCCCACGGTTTCTCTTAAAATCTAATGCCTGGCCTGGAGATAATGAAAAAGCAAGTGCAGCTGCACCACTTTTTGTTTTGTGTTCCCTGCTCCCCACCCAGCACTTACTCTGCTGTCTGTAGGGAAAGGCAGACAGAGTAGGTGGTTATTCACAGACACGTTGTGATAACTGTAGCATATCCCTAATGTCACACTGCTTGGAGAGTACATTGCAAGTGGGGATGTTAGCCAAGACTGGGTAGTTTAGAACAGTCATCCTAATACAGGAGACTGCAGGCACAGAGAACTGGAAAGCAGAAGGAAGTAAGCTCTTGAAATTAAAGCAACGAACCAAAGATCCACAATTTTTCAGGTTTCTTTGGATTTTTACTGGTAACTTCAATTCTACTGTTAAGGGACACATGCCTTTCAGTTTCTCTGGAAAGATTTCACTGCAGACATTCAGAGTTCTTCCATTTTCTCTGTGAAAGCCATATTCCTATGCCACATCTATTTCACACCCACTTCCTTTGTGACATGGAGAATCTGCTTAGCTTCATGTTTTCATCTCCTGCCCCTTTCCCTCCCAAGAGTAAGTCTGCCACAGACTGCATATGCTTCAAAACTATCTCCTCCTCCCAGACCAAGTTACCTTTTCCTTCTCCCAACACAATGGCCAAAAGACTTCCCTTGGTCGAAGTGTGATCCTTTTAGACTCCTGAATTTTTCACATCCGTGTTTTCAAAAGCTGCTTCCTGCTCTTTGTCCCTTCTCTTTTGCTGGGCTTTTTCCATGACACACCCCCAGCTCTTGCAAGGGCAAGAGCATGGTGCAAGGGCAGCCATACCTTTCTTCTAAGACAGTCCTACTTAAATGGAAGACTATTAATGTCAGTGACTCAGATAGTTTTCCCTTTTCAGGGAGCTCTATGACACTAGCTGTTGTAGCAGATAGCTGATTCACTGTAACGTTAACCTTTCCAGGATGCAGCAATTTTATAACCTTATCCAGCATTCATCAATCCCAAATAAACAGCTTTTCCTACCTGCCGTTCTTAGTTATTTAAGACAAACTTTGGCTTCATATGAGCTTATGGAATTGTTCGATGGAGGCCTAAATACAAACATGACTACTGCCTAGAAATATGGGGAAATCATACTGTATGTGCCAAAATGTAAAGCTTAGAATATGTGAGAAAGAACACAATATACGATGCTGCAGTGCTCTGCATTTGGCATCATTTTATAAAGGTCCAGGGAGGAGGTTTACCCAATCATTTCACACCGTGGTTGCTAGCAATGGTGGAAATGACTCAACATTAGTGGTACAGAGTCCAGCCCAGAATTTTTTACTGCCATATGTGCTGTGTCAACATGATGAATGACTCACAGAAAGGGAAAATGATAACAAAGAAAATACATGTTAATGTCTGCTGCAGAAAACACATTGCTTAAAGCCTTTCCCTTTCCCCTCCCTCCTGCCCAATTTCTTCTATTTAATTTCCCAGGTAAAGGATTGACATGTGGAGATTCATTTGTAGAAACATAAATAGGTAGTATAAAAAATTATGAGGTGAAGCTGTCCAGTAACTCATATGTAATAAAACTGCATGTAAACCGATGCTATTCTATGGGAATTCTTTTCCCTATGGGAAGTTGACAGCTCTTTGTGACTCAAGAGGCTCTCATACCTCAGGAGACTAAACTATTGTTTTCCATTGAGAAAAACTGACAAATGAATTCCCTTGTAAGAACCTTGTAGCAAATCAATGAAAGAACTAGGATAAACTCCTAAGGTTTACCCAGCATCATGGAAGAAGGCCTGGTTCAGCTTGCTACTAAGTGAAGGTATCAGAAGTGCTAAAAGGTTGAGGTGTTGGGGCTCTGCTGGACTCTTCTATTGCTTAAGGGAAGAAACTGGGTATTTAAGGAAGAGAAAAATGACCTGTGGGGGAAGAATGAAGACAACAGAGAACCCATTATATATAGATGTATTATTTGCTGTATAAAAATGTTTCCAACCCAAAACTCAGATACAAAATGGGAGAGTGATGGTTCCCAGGTGAGAATATCTGTAAGTGTCTTGGGTCTCCAGAGACCACAGGGTTGGGGTGTGGAACAGAAAGGATTGTGCATCTTTTTCCTTGCTGCAGATGAGCATTCTGAGAGCTGAGCTTTGTTACCAGGTCTGTGCTGACATAGGTAGACCAGCACTTTGCCTTTGATAAATTAAAAGCCTATCACTGAGTTTTACCAGTTTTATTTCCTGGACCAAGTTTACAACAGGAAAGTTCTGCTTTTTCACTGGACTGTCTGCATTCACAGTCTTGTGCTGAGAGCATGGACAAACAGCTGTGACGTATGGGACAGTGAGTGAGGACTGGCGGAAATTAATAGGCTTTTTCATTCTGCTGCTGGCTGAATGTAAATGAAGGCTTGCATTCACTGTGGTTAGGAGATAACGTAGGGTTACTGTGGTTTTCTTTCAGTTCTGCCACTTATCCACATCATCCATTTTTCAGTCACCCTCTTCTTTCACTCAGAGGGAGGAATCTTGATTATTGTGATGTCCTCAGTGAAATATAGCACCACTTCAGACCTGCTCTAAGTGACAGAGCTGCTTCTGACTATTTTCTCTTCTCCCTAGGGTATAAAGAATAGTGTATTACAATACAACACAGGTCACTCCTAAGAAACTTTGACTGGGCACTCACCCAGTTTTAACCAGTGGACAGTTCTTAAAGCAGGCAGGTACAGACCTCTTGTTCCTGTAGGAAACCTTTCTACATGAGTGTCTGCACTTCAGAGTTTCTATATCAGCCCAATGGGGCCTTGCGGTCACTGAAAATAAAGCCTTTGGAATAGACTCATGGCAGATGCTCAGCGTCTCTACACTTGTGTCTTCCCAGCTTTATATGAAGCTAGGAATACCT